AGTTATAGGTGTGCAGTTATAGGTGTGCAGTTATAGGCGTTATAGGCGTTACAGGCGTAGCGCCGTACCGCAATAGGCGGGTGGGCAATAATATAGGATGTATTGACTTACGCAATATACGGCGCTATAGGCACTAAATGGAAGTGGTTAGCGCCGCACTAAATAGGTTTAGTTTTTGTGCGAAATAAGGATGCTATTGTGCGAAATACGGGCTGCCCCATGTCCGCGTCGTCATCCCCAAGAAGCAGCTAATTAGCTGTATCAGAACTCTCCAGCAGCCACAGTTAGCCGCAGTGGGAGGGTCGAGCACGGCATTGGCCGGTCGCTCTGATAGAAAAGGAGGGTCTCCCGATCGAAGACGGTCGAGGGTGTCTGCGGCCGGGAGCTAGACAAGGATAAGACTGGCTTTCTGTGGGAGTCTGTACAATTGTTGTATGGTTAGTAGCTCGCCAGGAGGCCAGGGGTCAGAAATGCACAGGGACAGGTGCCACTTTTTCCGCGCCGCAATTTAGGGCGCGCGATATCGAGAGTAGCATGGCGAGACCAAACAATGATACCCTAATCTCCAGTGGGTTCACTCCAGAACTTGAAAGGCACAAGGCACAGGCATTCGGAGGACTCTCCACGGACTGTCATGGCTCGACTCGTTTGACATCAGCGGCCATCCTGATGATATTGTACCTGGCATACTGTAATAATAAATCGGTCAAACGTTTGGCTCCGAGATCTGAAGAGCCTTGAATACTTTCCTGCCCGTTGCTGGAAGCGTGATAGGAAAATTGGTCATCTCGGCCAGGAAAATATTTCTCCCATTAGCCTTTAGTACTAGGCAGAATTACGGCGCCGGCGATATTCAAACGCTACCTAGCACTGCAACCAATATGGTTAACATGTACTAGTAGCCCAAGGGGTATGGACGATGTTTATTCGTACCCTTCAAGCTAGGCATCGTCTTAAGTTACAGTAGGTATTTTTCGGCGCTATCGTTCAAGCCTGATATCGACAAAATTAAATTCTTCACCGCCGCTTCAATGTTTCAGTTCATGGCAGCATAGTATACAAGCAGTATGATCCATCCTGCAGTCACCACCGATTCAAGAACAGAAAACGGAACGGAACAGCACAGCCTGGCCCCTCCTGTTCGCTTTCTGGTCCACTCATCAAGCGGGCAACTTCTTTTCCAGTTCCACGACCTCTGGCATTGCCACACCGCCGACCCTCAACTTCGACAAATCAGGCTCGTACCCCTCCTCGACATCAGGATACGGCCCCCGCGGGGTAATCGCCTTAGGATTAATATCATAATGGCTCTTAGTATAATTCTCCTTGATATGCTTAAAATCAGACGTCTCCTTGAACCCCTTGACATTCCAGTACAAGTTCTTCAGATAATTGTTGAGCTGGGGGTAATCGTGCCGAATAGTACCCAAGTTACACTTGAAATGCTGGACGTAGACGGTATCGAAACGGATCAAGGTCGCATAGGCCCTGATATCGAGCTCCGTGAGCTCCTTGCCCAAGATGTACGGCCCCCCGTTCTCAGCCACCATCTTCTCCAGCCGATTTAGGGCCGCAAACACCGGCAAGACATTCTTGTCGTAAGTTTCTTGGGAATCCGCAAATCCGGCCTTGTACACGCCTGTGTTGAGGTCTCGTTGCATCCATTCTGCCACCTCGTCGATTTTTGGTCGCAGGTGCTCCGGGTACAATGTGACTCGGGCGTAGTCCTCAGGCAATAGTGGGTTGAGTGCCGTCTGGAGGTCTCGAAGAAGTTCCGCGCTCTCGTTGTTGACGATTGTTTCGGTGTCTCCATCCCATAATACGGGAACGCTGTATCGGCCCTTGTACTCTGGGTCCGCTTTGAAGTATATTTCGTGCATGTACTTGCTGCCGTAGAGGTGGTCCACCGTGGCACCCGGGTACTCGTCGTCCGTTTGAGGAAACTGCCATCCCGGCCATCCTTTCTCGTCGCCTTTGGGGTACGGTTTGACGATCGAGATGTCGATGATGTCGGTGAGTCCCTTCAGATGTCGTACCAGATTCGCCCGGTGCGCAAACGGGCAGAAGAGCCCGATATACATGTGATACCGACCCCTTTGAGGTGGAAACGGTCCGTCAGGTGTGATTTTGCCGTGCCATGATTGCGCTGTGCCCGCGAGATGCTGTGTGACCGTCGTCGGCGCTGGGCGGCCAGGCGTGGGGTGGGTAGTCGAACTCATTGAGCTGAGAACACTGTGATTTGTATACTTGATTTGAGGGACTAATTGCCTATGTATACATTCGAGACGATTCATCTAATATCCCACGGGCAGGAATTGTTCTCCTCATACTGTTCAGCCATGAAGGTTGATTGATTACTGAGATGAGGACGTGTAATTCCGCCCTCTGACGTCAACGCATGTGCGATTCTACAAGACCTTGAACTTTGAAGTTGGTTATGAAGTTTCTTTATTTTTGTCTCGCAGCCTCGTCATGTTTCCTTCATGGCCAGCAAAACTAAGGTATTCCCGATGCTGCTCCCCGCTGAATGAAGCCCATTAATAGTACACAATACAAGCAAGGCCATCTCAATAGCCTTCGAGTAGAGTCCGGTTGTGGCTCTCCTTGCCTTTGTGAAAATACACCGTACTGGCTTATTGATTCTTCACATCAGACTTGGCCTTCTCCTTCAGTTTTTGGCCCTCCTCAACCTTCTGCGACAGGACCTTCTTCACGTCCTCGATCGCGCTCTTGACCAACTTTTCGGCCTCCTGTCCATGCTTCTGACTCAATTCCTGCAATTGTTGCAATTTGGGGCCAATCTCTGTGCCGCCTGGGATCATGTGGAGGAACTGTTCGATTCCGCTACCGGCACCGTCTGAGACCTTGTTGGCTTGCTCTTTAACGAATTTTTGGAGATCGTCCGTATTCCCCGACTTGCTGGCTTCTTGTACCTTTTGCCATAATTGACCAAGGTCACCTTGAAGAAGCTTGTCCTTGTTGCTCTCGAGCAATTCTTTCAGTTGCGGTTGCTTGTCAAGCAGTGGCTTGGCCTGCTCAAGTCCCTTCTGCCAGGCTTGATCACCATACTTTCGCAGCTCTTGCGTCTTGTCCTGTACCAACTTCTGTAGCTTGTTGATCGTATCCATGCTCACTCCGCCTTTCACGATATCTTGCACCTGCTTCCACGTCTCGTCGACCTTCTGCTTGGCTTCGGGCCCGTACTGCTCGCCCATCTTCTTCAGCTGTTGAAGGTTGCCGCCGACTTTGTCCTTCAATTCTGGATGGTTGTTCAGAATGTCATCTGCAGCATCCGAAGCCAGGCTGGCGATGCGGGTGAAACATTTCTGGATCACGTCCCAGGCCTGACTGACTGCCTCAACGCTGAACCCGGCCTTTGTCACATCCTTCAATTCGCCGTACGTCTCGTGGATGATCTTGTCCACCTCATCGCCGTGCTTTTCCCGCACCTTGTCGAGATCGTCAAATGCAGAATCCACGTACTTCGACGCTCCCGGGATCATTTTCGTATAGCTGTTCACCGTGTCGCGTAACCACTCAATGGCTTGGTTGGGTTCTGGTGCGGCCTGCGTCGTCTTCTTGAAGGCACTATCCACGTAGGATTTGGCGGTGTGGACGCTGTTGACCACGGTCTTTGCGCCCGAAAAGGAGTACCAAGCATACCCTCCCAGCAGAGCGACAGCGCCGCCGGCTAAACCGCCCAACAGCGCATGGTTTGCGGAAGAGGAGGCTGCTTCTTTAGATGTAGAGGACGATGAGGTTGACTGAAGTCTAAGGTTGCGCGGTTGTCGAGGGCGAATGGGTTGACGGACTCTCAGGGCACGTGTCGACCGCAAGGCCGCTCTTGGAGTATTCGCCAACATGATTGCGAACGGTGAAGGGATGGAAGAATAGTAGTACTAGTGAGAGGATGAAGGGGTCAAGGTTAAGAACGTGGGTACTTTGGTTTGAATTGGTTTGAAGAGGTGGGTTACTGTAGGACAGGAGGGAAGGGTTGATGCTGACAGGGGACAGTGTATTTATGAATTAGAAGTGCTGCGATTGAAAAGTCTCTTGAGCTTCAACTTGAAGAAGAGCCCCAAACACAATGACGCAGGTTGCCCTCACTTTTGGAGCTCTTACCAGACAGTGACGAACTGCCATTGGCACGGTAGTCGCAGCTTTCCAATGTTCCCAGCGCTGGAGTCGGAGTGAGTCCCTGGGACACCGCCACGGGACGTCATTGTTGCTGAGGCGCGAAGCACAAATACGTCACCATCAAGAGCGCCGCCAGCAGCGCTCAAACTCTTTCTCGGCGGCATTGGCAATGCCTAGGTACGTTTGTGGCGCTGCGCAGTGTTTGACGTGAAACTGAGAGTAGATACTAAGACATAGGTAGTACTGTGTCTACCTCGGGTAGCGTCCATGGTTACAGAAGACAGCTCTGTAGCAGATCGAAGTTGAGGCGCTTCATAGGGTCCGTCGCCAGGCACGCAAACGTTGCCCCAGATAGATTAGACCCTGATCTGAGATTTCATCTGATGAGATTAACCTGCATCTCCGCATGGGACCTCACCATCGCATCTCCGAATACTACTACTACAGCACTGCCATATTATTTTAGCCATTCCGCAAGCTGATCCATCAAGTATCCGTCTTTTACGTTTGTATTCTTCGTCTTACTGCCGCCGAAGCCATCGAGATCATCTGCCACCAAAATGACTTCCAGACCAGCTGCGCGGCTGCTTCAAAGAGCGCTTGCTTCTACTAGACCACATCGAACAATTCGCCAGCATCAAACATTTTTCGTTGTTCGCCCTCGGTCTTCGAGTCTACAAATCTACCAGAATCAATTTTCTCGAAGTCGCCTATCTGCATTCCATACTTCCTCATGCCGGCGCGCCCAGTCACCTACGGCAGATGCTTTAATGGAACATCTCACCGAACTATACTCGACCGCCAAGGACGAATTTGAAATTGCTGCAGAGGAGACAGAAAAGAAGACAGTGTACGCCGCCGATGACCGCGAGGCAGCACAAGAAGCATTGAAGGCGCTTAAGGATGCGTTTGAGAAGGCGGTTAAGGAGAGCAACCCGGAAGTCGGGAAAGAGATCCAAAGTCGAGTGGGCCAAAGAATAAGAGAATTGGAGAATGCGGTCAAGGCTATGGAAGAAATGGCAATGGAGGACTAGGCTGGAGGCTTTTCGCCATATAGACCTGATGCCATGAGTTGTGTCAGCCAAGGGGCCTGGACAGCCTCCGTTTCCTTACATTGGTGGCCCTTGAGACTACGAATGTTCAATAAACATTTACCATGCTCTGCTCAACTTGATGGAGTCCCTGTCTGCAGCAGAAATGGACGTGTGCAATCGCGCCACGGTGTCTCGGAAAAGAGATCAACCGGGAATGTTGCGCGCTGGCCATTGCTGTGGGCTTTACTCTTACGGAAAGGCTGCAGCCATCCAGGCGTATGACCATGCTGTAGTAAAATGCTGCTGGCGTAGCCATCAACCGTGTGACGCAAGAGCACAGAAAAGCGCCACACAGAATAAACAAATGCAAGTTATTCAACCATGGAATTCAGGTACAGACATGTCTTTTTGGTCCATACGCCATGCGCAGCGTTTTCGTGTTCGCTGAAAAATGCAACTGACTACCCTATCCCCTGATGCTATCCGTCTAGTATCTCTTGCCTTCTCTCAGCACATCACCGTACTCCTCCAAGGGGCTTCGGATGAGCTTGTTCTCCTTCCACAAGTTGGGGGTCAGGAAGCCATACGAGTTGCTGACAGCAACGAATGTAGCCTTCAGAGTGTTCTCGAGCGTCTTTGTGCTTCCCGCAGAGGAAGTGTATGCATCCTGGACACCGGCAAGCTGCAACAATCTCTTGACGGCGGGCGAGGCGACAAGGCCAGTACCGCGAGGAGCGGGGATCAATCGAACGGTGACGGAACCGCACTTGCCAGACTCCTTGGTGGGCAGAGAGTGAGGCTCACCGAGGTTGGTACCCCAGTAGCCTCGTCGAACGGGCAGAACGGAGAGTTTGGCGATGATGATGGCGGCACGGATGGCAGTTGCGACTTCTTTGGAGGTCTTGATACCGAGACCGACGTGACCCTCGCTGTCACCAATGACCACGATGGCCTTGAACCGGGTTCGCTGACCGGCACGGGTTTGCTTCTGGACGGGTTTGATCTGCGTTGAAAAAGCCATGTTAGATCACGATATCCTCCTGAGCACTGGCTGTCCTCGAAGGCATCTTACCTTCATCACTTCATCCTTGAGCTTGGGCAGGAACCAATCGACAATCTGGTACTCCTTGATGGGCAGCGAGTGCAGGTAGATCTGTTCCATGCTCTGGATCTTCCCGGCCTTGACCAGACGACCCAACTTGGTGACTGGTTGCCATTCCTTTTCCTCAGATTTTGCACCTCCACGACGGCCACGGCCACGTCCACGTCCGCGGTCTCCCCGACCTCTGTCTCCGCGGCCTCGGTCACCGAAACCGCCACGTCCACGAGGAGCAGCGTCAGCCATGTTGATTGATGATAGCGCAGGTCTTTGAAATTGACGAGAAGGTGCTGCGCAGTTGCGATGTCGTGGTGTTCGGCGACGAAGTGGTGCAGTGGTTTGTGCCTCAAACCCAAAGCGGACGGCGGCACCGTTTGGCGAAATCTATTGCCAAGGAATGAAAACCCTAAGACCAGCACTGATTGGGAAATTCGGGGTGGTCCTCGGACTGAGCAACTGGTAAGGAAGGTTTAGCGAAGCCCAACCGGCATCCGGGGCCACCAAATAACAGAAGGGCGGGAAGGGACCAGCCTGTCAGCCAATGAGGACTCCACCTGCACTGTAGCATGCAATGACGCAGATCGCTATAGTTGAAAGCCCCCTAGAGATTTGCGGTGGTTCAGATCTTTGATCGCGACACAGAGTATTCTAAACACTTGATCGCGCTGTAGGTCAACGGAATTTACACTTTGCCTACTTCCTATGAGACGATACGAAGACTTAACGAGTGTTGTACCAGAAGAAAAAACATCATGTTGAAGTGGTATGCCATAGTGCTGTCCCCAGACGCGCTTCAAACACTCATCCTTCCAGGTATCAGGCAAGACTCGCAAAGAGGCCTCTCTTAACGCAGGCAGTCACCACCGCCGTATGTAATTCTCGAGATCCATTCATCAATGCTTGGTCTGACTTAGAGGAAGGTGCTTTTTGGCGCTGGCGACACGCTCGCGCAACAGGCGGTGGAACGAAAGGGCTTCAAAAACCATGATATGGCAAGAACAGGTCGAATGTGCTTGTATGGTGGCTGTGAGTACCTATGCACAATCCTTTCGCTCCGCGAATGCTGACGTAGACAGTCATTTTCGGACCGGCGGCCACCAAATGGTATTCCTTCCTGCAAAACAAGATCAACCTCCGATCGCACAATGCTACCATCGCCGCACGAGTGCTGGCAGATCAAACAGTCTTCGCCACATGCAATATGGCACTTTTCCTGTCCACGATGTCCATCCTTGAAGGCAGCAACCCCTCGGAAAAGCTTGAAAAGAGTTATTGGCCGGGGCTGAAGGCCAACTGGGTGCTATGGCCGGCCGTTCAAGCGGTAAACTTCACGGTAGTGCCGCTGGAGCATCGGGTACTGGTTGTGAACATAGTCAGTCTTGGCTGGAACTGCTTCTTGAGCTGGCTGAACAGTTCAAGTTCTAAGTGAGTCTCGACCACTTGCAAGCATAGTCACTTAAGAGCGGTTAGGAGCGCAGGTTGTTTGAGTCTTTGTTCTCAGTGGGCATGGCAAGCGATAGAGCCAGTTGACTCCCATCAGATGTAAACCAGATATGAACCTCTCTCATGCAAAACTGTAGAAGTGATCTCAAAGTTAATAGAACGGATGCAAGGAGTAAATAGTTCAGATCCGAAAGGAACCGCAGGCGGGAGACATGCAATTGCGCATGAGAGACGCTAAACCGTTTTGGGTTGTGGCCGCAGTCTGGGACTTTCGAGATTCTTGCCGCAGGCTCATATAGCAGAATTTGGCCGGTGCATCACTGTTCGCGCTTTCACCACCACGCCTTCATTCCCCGAAGTTCAAATTGAGTCACTTTAGGTGGACAGTCACTCTCCACAGCCAGAAGACGCTTGGCGGGTTTTGTTTGCTGTAATCCTACTTCTTTGCCGCGGGCGCTTGACAACCGATAAATCTTTCTCGATCATCGCCTCCGCGATTGCTCTTATTCACATACTTCCTGTTTCTCATTTCCTTCCGACGACGTTTGTCTGATACACTCCGCACGCTCCAAAAATGGCCGAAGTTGAGACGCCCCAGCCGGTTCCTGGCCCAGTCTCGGACGAGAATGCCGCTCCCTCTTCAGACGAGATCAAGACTGTGTTTCATGATGTGAACAATTTCAACGTCAAACACCCTCTGCTCAACAGCTGGAGCCTTTGGGTACGCTAGCATCAACTGATCATGGATAAAAGCTAACCGTTGTTTAGTTCACTAAGCCGCCCTCGTCGAAAGGAGACAACTGGAATGACCTTCTCAAAGAAGTGATTACATTCGACACCGTTGAAGAGTTCTGGGGGATTTATGTATGTTCAGGTCTCGCGTGAACTTTGACATTTCTCTGACATTTACAGAACAACATCACCGCCTGTTCAGACCTTAGTCACAAGTCTGATTACCATCTTTTCAAGAAAGGAGTCCGGCCAGAATGGGAGGATCCGCAGAACAAGCATGGAGGCCGGTGGTCCTACACGTTCAAGGACAAGAAGTCTGTCAACATCGACGAAGTGTGGCTCCACACCCAGCTTGCAGCAATTGGCGAAACTTTGGAGGATGAAGGAGACAATGAAGTCATGGGAGTCGTTGTGAATGTCAGAAAGGCATTCTACCGAATCGGGTTGTGGACTCGCACCACCGGAAAGGCTGGGAGCAAGGACACTTTGATGAAGATCGGTCAACGCTTCAAAGAGGTTTTGCAGCTCCCTCCAAACGAATATGTCGACTTCTCTGGCCACACTGATGCCGCGCATGCGGGCAGCACTAGGGCAAAGACGAAGTACACGGTCTAGATTGTCCATATCAACTGTTGTGGCGGAGTCTTTTTGAGCATGGAGTATTCTTTGCTTATGTTTAGAACGGCTCAATCGTGCTGGGTCGGGGTTCAATGGCGTTTACCAGGAGAGGAAAAATGTCTCTCAGATGAGAAAAGCGATACCCAGCATTTTACTGATGATCAGCATAGCATCAAGGTTGGACTTTCTAGTCGAACCGGAATATGATACTGATATTCATTGAGACGTGCCGCTGGTTCAATTGCATCTGGCAGGGTGGCGACGACTGCCAGTCAAGGTTCCTACGACGAGGCTCGCCTCTGAGGTGCAAATATAGAAGCGCCTGGTGTGTGAGGGTGATATGCTGAGCTTTGCCTTTGACAAAACGAGTCGTTCCAGTTCCTGAAGCAACACGTCAGCTAATGAAAGAGTCAGTCGGCGCGACTGCGGACGTACTTAATGCTGACGGTTCTTGCTTCTCAAGCTTCAACCTTTTCTATCTCAGCCTGCTGTACCGTGCCAGCCCAGCGGGTTCAGTGTATCAGTTGAAATGGAGAAACACATCCCACAACTCCAGAGGGGGGCGCCAATTTCTCAGCAATGGAAGTATTGACTACCAACGGAATCTGAATTGACTCCGTCATCCTGACTGGAGATCCTGTTCGACTTAGGCCCTTTGCTATAGTGTATCGACATCGCTAGCGGTGCCATGCCAGTTGTTGGGCGCAACTTACCACGTGATGCGGCTGGAGGGTGTTTCTCACTTCGGCCAGCTTCGGCCCCCTAGCAAACACCTCTGCCAGTGGCATCCTGCATCCTGCTGCATGAGCTGAACCGCCCGTCGCACCAAGGGTCAGTAGTGGGTTAAGATTTGTTGCTCTGGACGATCTGACTGGATGATATCCAAACCGGTCAGGGAAGCCTTGCGTATCGGTGTCTGGTGGGCTTTCCTGCCTGCATGTTGCGTGCTCATGTCACTGGAAGGCAGTGCGAGGCAGTCAAGCCAGTTTTCACCTTCGGCACTCAGCCATCATGCCAGTGCTCTTCACGAATCTTGACAACCTTGCCAGACCATGATCACTCGGATACGATGCAATGCTGATCACAATCCATTCATCCCGCGTCAGTGAGCGAGTGGTATCCCCCACGGGATGGCACAACCTCACTCATGACCAACCCCTCACTTGTGTAGCAAACGGACTACTACCACTTGCAGAGGTTGATAAAGCTGGCTCCTGTGTGGTGCTTCCACCGTGCCCTGTAGGATGCTTATCTTGACGCAAGCCACTGGTCTCTGCTGCCTATAAACTGTCCAACGACGCCTTTTGTTGCCTGGTCTCATCCTTTTCTGCCAAACTCCGCCTCACCGAATCAGCCTTGTTAAGGTTTGTTTGTCCCTTTTGCATCCCATCTTCCTTCAGGCACATTGCTGCCTACTCTCAAGCAGGGCGAGAGGCCGATCTGGCGCCTGAGCGACCTGGTAGCCAGATGGGGCGCCGCCCTCGTCAAAGCGGCCATCGCCAGGGCCAATATCCCCTTCGTAGAGTTGTCCCAAACCACTCTTGGTCGCCTCCTGCTCTGCCTCAACACCCGAGTTTCGAAACGCCGTCTACTAGTCCAGTCCAGCCGCATGAACAATCGTGGCTGGCGCCTGAGGCCTATGTTGCGTCTCAAACCGAGCATCGGCCGGAACCTGTCAGCCCAGTGAGTGCCCGTTCGACTCTGTCCCACTCGAGCGGTTCCAATTCTGCCCGTACGACGAGCTACACTTCGGCCATTGCATATGCTCGACATCTGTCACCTGACGCAAATACGCCCACGAGCTCGGGTATACTCAACCAGCAGAATGTGTGGAATGGCCGACAGGTGCAAGATAGTCATGGATGGTCTCGAAACGGCCAAATTGGCGCATCCTCCAGTGCATCGGATACAGATGTCCAAATGACAGGTGAATAGCCCTGGGGAATTGTTGTGGCCCTGATACTGAGCTCCAGGACAGGAATCACAGAAGCCGTCTTGGGGATTGACGTTCGTTCGTTGGCCAGTTATTCTCCAGATTATCTCCAAAGACCCCAGTTTGTTTCTGAGAGGAGCTCATCGCCGTCCAACCATCGCAGGCAGCGGCCTACGACTGAGCCATGGAGTACTTTGCCGTTGCCGCTTGCAGATGGAAGACACGATGGCAACACGGACACCCACGCCGCCGATGCGATGGATATTTTCTCAGAGGTCACACGCTCACCAACCGGGCGAGAAAGGCCGAGAGGTAGAACACGCCCTCTTTCTCCGGAAGAGAGAAAACATGCCATGAATGTCCGAAAGGAGGGTGCGTGTCTCCGCTGCACTATCATGAAGGAAAAGGTTCGGCACAACCCCCACACTTCAGTCTGCTGCCGGGATACTGATTCCAAATCTAAGTGCGATACAATGTTCCCATGCAAAACGTGCTTGACCAAGGAGCGGCGGAAGATCCCCAAGCAATGTATTCGAGCGCGATTTGACTGGAAAGAGTGTAAATCCATAATGTTTCCTGGTCAGTAAGACGTCGTGCCCATCTGCATACCCACCAGACTGACCTATGAGCCCTGAAGATGAGTTGACACGCAAGTTGGAGAATAAAAACGTTTCTCGCTATCTCGGCAACTCGGTTTTCATGTATCCACCGCGAGAGCCGTTTGAAATTGTCCTGGACATGGACATTGGTGACAACAGTGAGTACAGTGACTACATCAAGGTCCGGGTCAGGGAATTCGACCCGCTAGACCACCCAGAACTGCACCACGCACATGTCGCGGCTGCGGATTATGATGGCTCTAAGCCCTACAAAGAGTGTGCAGTATGGAATCCACCGATCATCATGGACGTCACTGAAGGGAGTTGGCAAAAGGAGATCTGGAAACTGCAGCGGGGAATTCCCTTGCGATTCGACAAAGTTCTGGGCAACCCACACAGCTGGACCGCCTGGACGATCAAGTATTTCACGGACCCTCAAGAAGATTTCCAGACCACCATTTTGGAAATGATTGGACACTACTACCGCAAGGACATACCGGAACATGGGATTATCAAGACGGCATTGAGTCTATTGTGGTTCGAGAATCTCCTCCTCAAAAAGTTTACAATACCTCCCGAAGCCGTTCCGGAACTGGAAGAACATCTGGAATCGCAGCGGCCGCCAGCGATTCCGAACGACGCTTTCGTTATCCCGGCCACCATCAATCGGTTCCTTAAGGCGATTATAGTGCAGATGGCGATCGACGCGGCGCGGCAAGTCACAGAAGTCCTTCATGACATGCTGTTTAAGATGGCTGTCTCGCAGAAACTTCCGACAGGTCAAACTGACATTGCTCTGTGCGTGGCATTTATGATTCTCATGTTTGTCGGTCGGGTTCAATGGACACTGGTGGTCCTGGCTGACTCTCGACCCGCCGAATCGGGCACCGAATATCGGTTGCAAGATGCTGAAGCCAGAATTCGGGCCATGGAGGAGTCGGTTTGTGACTATCTCGTCGCATTCCACAAATATACATTGAGCAGGAAATCGCCATCCAAAACAGCCGAAGCGCCGGCAAAAGGCTACAAGAACAACAGCGCAAGTTCGGATATGAATAACACGGCGTGTGAGAGTCACGCACAACAATTCGACCTGGTAGGCAAGCTACGACGGGAGGTCGAAACGGATTACGGTAAGTGTGGGAGTCCGAGTGCGAGACCAAGCCTTCGAGCTAATGTGGCAACAGCTTCTGAACGACCGCAAAATCTTGAATTAGGCCGGATCGACCTCCGGACGTTCCCATACACGAATGTTGGCCGGTTGTGCTGGAAATTGTTCCGCAATATCGAATCTGACACCGCCTGTGACTGAGGCAGCTCTCTGGTCGGTTCCCAGGGACGATCGGTTGCCGTTGCAAGGGGTTTTCAGACGTCCTGCTGATAGTACTTGACCAAGCTGGGCTCCGGAACTAGCTGACTCCCGGACCAGGGTGGTGCTGCCAGCGTTTCGTCAATCGATCGGCCTGCCATGTGGCGCAGGGGTTTGGCAGGGGGGTTGCCAACGATAGATTAAATCATAGAAAATCATAGCCGAGCGGAGCGGTCAACATCGGTTAGGCGACTACTACCCCTGGCCTTGCTTCAATCTAGTTTTACACACACACACACACACACACACACACACACACACACACACACACACACACACACACACACACCTATACCATGTTCGTGGTGCATCAGCACGAGCGGCGATGGTGCCATAACCAGGGGCCGAGAAGCTGTGCTGGGGTGCTCATCACTCTAGTGGTGTAGTATCCTGGGTGGCACGTGGTGCTTGACGAGGTCCACTGGCCGGGGGCCTCAACAAGATCCCTGCATACCTCCCTGGTACTGCAGTGCAGTGTAGTGGCGAGGGAGCAGATATGACAGACTCGGCACAGACCCTTGACCAACAGTGGTCCAAGTCACTCTTATGCCTTGCTTGGGCAGTACTTACAGTATTAGTACCTATGTACCTTGATCTGCATCCCTCATAATGCTTGTATCCATGCTTCGAGGCGCTGGTGCTGATCCTACAGTACATGGCACGTTGGTACCTCGAAGGGTACCCAGGGCCTGTTCCATCACGTGGGTACTTACCAGGTACAATGTCGTTCAAGGGGCGAAATGCAGTACTACCGTAGTCACCGGGGGCATCGCACTGCCATGCCATGTGGCATCCGTTGTTACCTGCAGTGTCTACAGTAGGTAGGTACCTACTTATCTAGGTAGTAAGAGGTATGCATGCATGGAAAGCCGATCAAACTAAACCAGACCAAATGCTGTCGGTCACTCAGTGGGAACGCGAGGCTAGGGGCTTGAGGCTGGGATTTGAACTTGGAACTTGAAGCTGCAAGTACTTCACACCGCTGCCATAGCCGAAGAGAGCACCGTCACATCGTGCGGACTACTGGGAGTGCTAAACTGCCGTTGACTCTCCGCGGACCCCGACGAGGTTGGCAGTGCCAGTGGTTGATGATAGGTAGGCATTTCGGTACTAGTGGAGACTTGGAACGTGGATTTGAAGGTCCGAGTCATGCAAGTTCATAACCCCCCGGTTCAGGTTCGCAACGAGTAGGTAGTTGCAGTAGATCATCTTCTCCTGCACTGGCAGCGGTCTACTCAAGCACCACGTGGCATGGACGGCCGGGAGGGGAGGGGAGTGATTTGACATCGCCTACTACTGCAGTGTAATACTAGGTACCTAGGTAGTCATGTTTCTTCCGAGATAAGGAGGGGAGGGCAACAATCTCAACACCATGACCTGACAGCATTATTGATGGAGAGTCGGGGCCCGCATGTGCTGGTTGCTGGTCAATGGCCGTGCCAGTGCTGTGTACTTGCCAATACTAGTATTCGCCCATGAATAGAGGACTGTTGGAGTCCCATTTTTCTTCTGAGAAGTTCAGACATGGCTGCACGGTGCTATTCAAGTCGTACTAGTACTACTGCGGTAGTCCATCTAGGTAACTCTAGACAATCTTGTCCTTGAGATGCCCTTCTTTTAACCACTCCTCGAAAGACTTTGTCTGCACCTTATGCTTAAGTTGATGGGGCTCAATGACCCCCTCCACACCAGCACAATAATCAAATTCGCCCAAGTATGCACCGCCCAACAGAATCTCCCGCGGGAGTCCCGTCATTTCATGCAACGCTTCAACGGTGGTCTGGACGTACACCATCTTCTTACCAGTCACGCTGGACCAGATATCCATTAGACTCTCAAAATCGAGGTAACTCGATTCGTTGTAAGCCAAGAGTTTTGTACCCGCGGGCTCGTCTTCGATCAACGCTCGAACAAACAGGCCAGTGGCTTCAATGGGGTCAACAATCGGGATCCTCGTTTCCTTGGGGAACGGAAGCACAAAGCCGTAGTTGTCCTGCCCCTCAGTCTGAGCCGGCGGGATTCGTACCGGAGCAGCAACGAACTGATTCGTGTTATAGGCTCCGAGGTAGATGACTGAAAGCTTCTTCTGGGCGAGTTCAGGTAGTTCGGTCTCAATGTAGTCCGCAATGCTGCTCTTGCCGGCCCAGTGGTACGTCTTGTATTTGCCGTTTGAGGCCCTTTCCATGGGTCCAAGCGCAGAGAAGACTAGGCGTTCCAGTGTTGGTACTTCTGCTGCGGCCATGGCTGCGTTCTTGCCGTTGGAGAACTCGGTTTCAAATGCGAGTTTTCCGGCCTCGACTTCGTCTTTCCCGGACGCCATGGCGGGCCGGAAGACGGTCCAGAAGTCGGTGTTGAGGAAGATGGCGTGCACGTTGGAAAAGGCTCGGCGCAAGGATGATATGTCGCCGAGGTCTGCCTGGACGATTTCGGCGCCAAGATCCCTCAGAGTCTGAGATGCTTGTGAGGCTGGGCTGCGGGTGAGGCATCGAACGTGCCAGTGAGGCAATGAGAGGAATGTTCGGGCCACGGAGCCTCCTTGGTTGCCGGTTGCGCCTACGACGGCGATGATTTTCTTGCTGTTGATGGTGCTTGGAGATGACATTGTGAATAGATATTAGGGCAAGCTTCAAATTGGGATCTGATGGGAATGGATGCTGGGAATTACGGTCTGGAGAAGTGACGAGATTCAAGTGAGTTGCCGACTTACCTGCTGGCATTACCAGTGCTCGATTTATATATTCACAACTTCAAGGCGTCGGAGCCTGTCACCCGTGTCCGCGGACATTGATGTGAGTTGGCTTACTCCAGCTCTGGCATCCATGCACACTGGCAGCGGTGCTCGCTTCGTCTTGACGCTTGCCATGTATAGGTATTTTTTTGCGATTCGATGCAAATGGTAAATCGCACTGTGGCTTACGGGTGATGATTGTAGAAGAATGTATAAGGTTCAAGTTGTGATTGGCGTTGAAAGCGTAAGCCACTGTGAGCTACGACCCACTGTGAGCTACGACCCACACAGTCTCGTTGATCCAGTTTAGGTATGGGGCTTCAAGTTCGGAGAAAACACCTCGCCATCTTCGACGTTATCTCCGAGCCTCGTCCAACAACATGCTGAGCGTGCGTCCATACCTTAGGTAGGTGATTACCACTCGATGCTGTTATCTACCAGAAGCTACTCGGAGTCCGTCAGCCAGTATGACTACCCGCGAGGAAGCAGCGCACTCGGCTGGCGCGGTCAAGCATCGGAAGCGGGTCCTCACACCGGCTCGGAGAGAACAAAATCGCATAGCGCAAAGACTCTACAGTAAGCCATGATATCTAGCTCCGAGCCCGGTCCTAAATCCCGCCATACGTCTTACTGACGTCCGGATAGGGCAGAGACAGAAGACGCGCCGTCAGGGCCAGCATTCCTCGTCGTTGAGGAAACCGCTGGACTTGCGTCCTCGAGTAAGGGCTGAAGGCCGAGAATGCCATGCACACCAGCTGCCAGTGGGCGAGCATGGCCTGCCAGAGGACTGGGAGGCTGAAATATGTGCCAGAGTCGGTCTCACCCGAGGGAATACGTCCGATCAGGGTCAGCCATTCCCATTGCATCCACTGGTCGCAGAGTCCAGTTCCACGTTAGAGGACTTCATGGCCATGGGAATAAATGCGGCCCCAACAAACCTGGAGTTCACGTCGTATCAGCTGCCGTCTGAACTTCTCCACGAACTGCAAAGTCCAACAGCAGGCTCACAGGAGACACATTGCCCTAACTTACCCTTCGGGTTGGAGGACACTTTTGATGCCTCTATTCCCTTCGGCAGCCAAGCGAATGCCCGAAATGATCCTGATGATGAGAATAACAACCCGACGTTGGTTATCTCTGGGCTTCAGCTAGAAAACAGCATTTGGGCTCCTGATCCAAGTCCACATACTTATACGAGCGAAGCTTCCAGTGTCGCTTGCAGCACCTCGTCGTCGTCATCACAGTACATGTCTTCGCGGCTACGAGTTCCATCCGGAGGCTACAGTGGTTCAGCGGAGATTGATAGTGCGGTGCAGTCATCCTCAGCTCGTCCCCTTGCTGGCCAAGCCCGATCCCATGGCCTAGCACCCGACAACATCAATCCTCAACTCCCAGACCCTTGGTGCAATAACATACAATTCAACAGCACAACAATTTTCAACGCGTTCCTAACCATCGCCCTCAGACTTGGATTCAACCTCCGTGAATTGGTTGATGCCAAAAACTGCCTCAATGCAGCAACCCGATCTCCCTTCTATTGTCCTACGACACCTCAGAACGACCCGCAGGCCCTTCTTGCGGCCGCCCAGCTTCCGTTCGCGCCATCCAACCTCCAGCCTACCCTGCCTCAGATCCTGATCCCGCACCATCCTTTCCTTGACCTCATCCCCTTCCCGGCAATTCGGGCCAGCGCCATCACCCTGGCTGCGGCGATGCCCAATGCATTTAGCATGACAGAGCTAAAGAAGGATGTCTATGTTCACGGAGCACTCATTTGCTGGGTGGGAGGTCGGGGCATTGGCACTGGCCAGCCCTGGGATCCCCGCAGTTGGGAGGCAGCTCCTTGGTTCTTGCACAAATGGCGGTTGCTGCTAGGCGGCGAGACTGGGGAGATGTGGAAAACGAGCACATGGTGGCGAGAGAGTCGGAGAGAAAGATAATGGTGCGTTGAACTAAGACCTATTGTTCCAATACATGGACACGTGTCTTGTCTGCAGACTCCACATCTCCTGGTCCAACTACTCATCCATGCCTATCAGGCAGCCCAGATCCGCCCTTCCACGTTCTCATGCCGGATGTAGCGCTTCAAACTCGACCTGGTTGGTCGAATGAAGCACAGAACCCTCAACCTTCAGGAGTGATTCCGGAATCAACATAAGCTTGGAGACGCCGGAGTGGGGGGTGCTAATTGGCCGGCTTCTAGAAGGCATGATTGGGGGTCCGAAAGTACTTTACAGGTCCTGAAGCTGCAGGGGACGGGTGAAAACGCCAGGTCGGCGGTGACAGGGTGCTGTGGAGGGGCGATGGTTTCCATTCAGTGTCCGTGTATGTCGTCGTCGTCGTCGTCGGCGTGCATGTGGGCAACTCGCCAGATTAGAAGTGTCTTTACTAGGTACTGCGGTGCTACTGCTGGGCGTACCCTGCCTGGCTCTGGCAATACTAGCACCTCTCTACCCTCGGCGGGTACCAATGCTAGTGATACAGTAGCAAGGAGGATCACGTACATTGTCCTGCTGCATTGACATGCCACTGCAGTAGTGCACAGTGAGCGTGTGTGAGATCGTGTGACGTAGCGGATGAGGAATGAGAGACGACGGGGGCGTCTTGCCGGTGTTGTTCTTGTGCCAGCTCATTTCTCTCTCCGTCTTGTCGACCACCTCAGACCATCATCCATCACTTACAACTCCTTACTGCATCTCCTCCGAGCCTCATCTCTCTTCTCGCTCCGACGATGCGACTATCAGGGCACCACTCACACCTGACCATCGCCCATCTTCCTTGTCTGTGCCCTGCACACCCGGTTCCCCGTCGTCGACTCCACCGCATTTGTGCCAGTTGGCGCCGACGCCAGCTGTGCCGGTATCACTGGCAGTGTGACACATGACTACACCCGGGGTCTTAGTGCATCGTAGTCTTGCATAAGGTTGTTCTATGGCGGCTTCGAGAAGATTGCCTGATACGGTGGATACCCATAAACTCAGCCACCCACTTACCACTCACCACTGTCATCACACACCGCTGCTCGACAAACGACATCACCACAAGAAACACACGTTGCAGTCGTCAGCTGGGTGCCCTTGCGAACCGTCTACCGGGTCCATACTCTTTGATGAGTCCGCCTGATCACACCAAAATGCCCCGACAGAACACACAACTGTGCGGTTGCCTTTGGGCGCCTGAACCTTAGCTGACCCCCAGTCCTCGGCCTAGGCAGCGACAGGGCTATGCTGCTCTCAATGCTGAATGTCCATGCCGACGCCGGTTTGTGCTGTGCTTGTTGGTGGTGATAGCTCGTGAGTCAGAAACAGACCTGTCCCATTTCCAGACACAATCCCTCGCAAATGCGGCTCCATCTCCATTCCCTGCATCTTTCCTCTTTCCTCGTGGTTTCCCCCACCCTTGCATGTTTTCAGCCTTGTTGCTTGCGGACGCTTGAACCACTCAACCTTGCAACTCTCTCTTCTTTGTTCTCTGTGGAAACATCCGACAAGGCGCAGTTGTTGCAACAAACCCCCTCCCGCCCACCGGTTCCTCTAACATGCACATCCCTCTATTCGCCCGGTCCCTTTGCTTCCCAATCGACTTCCTGGAAGTTCGCAACCCATCGCATCCCTACTGTTTATCTCTGACCCACTGGCCTCCGACCAACCTTCCTCACCCTTCTCACCAAGATCCACGGAGCATCATCTCGCTTCCACCTCCACCTCTGGCCAACTTGCAATTGGTGTTGAGGTGTCGTACCTGAACCAAAGACTGGCCGGCCCAATTCCCCTGCATCATGCCGCGTCCTGTCCAGCTTGGTTCAAGTCTGCCCGGGGGGCATTGTCGATCTAAGTCCCAAATCGTCCCGAGTTACCTACTTACTTCTACCCGTGGCTTTCCACTCGTGACCGCCTTCTTGAACATTTGTTTGTCCCTGGATATCCGTAAGATGTCATTCCTCAACGGATGGAGCCGGATTGGACTGTGGCTCCCCACGAGGCAACGTCGTGTTGAGTCTTGGAGAGTTAGACGCCTCCCGACGGGTCCTGGTCGCCCTCCAAGCTTGATGAGTTCGGAAGCTTCCTGTCTCCTGGCCTTTATTCTTTACCCGGTTGACCCTTGTTCATCAGGCTTCTCGGAAAACGGGACGGTGTGGATTCGCCACCCGACCCGCCTCACTCCTGGCGTTTCGTTTCTAGTCTTGCCATACGGTGGTATTCTTGGCTCCTGCTGTGCCTCTACTGTACGCTGCTGACCTTTTGTTATGGTTTTACCGGATCTGATCTGGCACAATCTCGTCTTGGCTCAATGGTTACAGGGAGATCTGTATTACGATGTTCATTCTTCATCCTGTCGAAACGATGATTTTGGCTCTTTCAAACCGTGTGATACACAGCCACAGGCTGGGCAATTCCGACGCCTTCAACGGTGCCTCATATCTTGCTCTGTGCCTCACTTTACACCACTTCGGCTCCCTGGTACGTAGCCTTTCAGGGGCAGGGCACTGCAACGAGATCCCACACAGCCACTAGTCAGATCGTGTACGCCCGGGGATTTGCGAGAAACATAAAAAGGTCCTTCCTGGAACTTGATCCTCTACTTCCTTGGATTCATCAGACTACTTTTCAAGATCTATACTTCATCTCTTGCCATTTTTCATCTATCCAAACAATCAGGAACGCTCCGACTCTTCCGCCACAACGAGCAACAAAATTCGAAGAAGATACTCAGCAAGCACACCAGCGCGCCAGATATTAGATTCAGATTCACCCTTGTCTCCGACTCTCGTCGTCACCAATGCCGGCGTCTTCGATGCAGACTGTCAATCTCATGGCGAAGCCTACACGGGATACAAAACCTCCTCCAAAGCCAATCGGCCGTAAGTGCCCTCATTGACTGTTGATCGACTTCATTTGAGTTTTTGCCATGGTGAATGATGCTAACAGCTCTCTCTTGCAGCATGGAATAAATCTTAGGGGCCGAGAAAGGCTGGGATCATGAAGGGCAGGGCCAGCGGTACTTGGACACGACGAAACCCCACCGAGTACCCGAACCATAGGTATGCAGACACCCACCCCGTGTTTGGAGAACTCATCAATATGCAGACATTCAAGAGATGCCTATATACTGACTGCATGGCATAGAGTTTCTGGACCGACCGGACCGTCGAGGGAGATCATGACTCCAATGCTTCAAATGCCCCAGCCAGACAGTTCATGCGGAAACTGTCTCTGACTCCGCCCACCTGCCGACTTGTCGGATATTGGATAACACCAAACTGCACCGGTACCTTTGCCTATACTTCTGTCCATCTATCCACGTCGACCCATCTACAGTTCCTTTTGGCCTTATACGACATCTTGCCCCACCTGGCCACCTACGTTACCCATACACCGTCGCTACCATCCAACCTCCATACCATTCGCTCCCGACCTCAACTAAATCCGTTATTACCACTACCTCTCATTTCACATCTGCACCAGCACAGTTTCATCAGAATATCCCCCTGCCTACCTTGGCCATTTGTTTTGTTTATTTGCGAAAGTGGTGGCGTGCTTGGAGTTACGAGTACGATGACAGACACATTGTACCAGGCACGAAGTCTCAGCCTTCCGAATGGTGACATTTTGGGATACTATTTTACTGGTTTAGTATGTGCTATTAGTACTTCTTGTATTGGAGGGAGTTTTGGTCATAGTTAGTCCTTCGTTTCGTTTGCCGCTTGGCTGCGGTGGCTTCTTTGCTCTTTTGTCTCTTGTTTAGAACGAAAGAGGGCGGACCACGGTGCGGACTTAGATCTCGAATACTAGTATTGATCTAGAATCTTGGATTTCCATGCACTACTCGACGTGCTGTAGATAGTTATACTTCAGTTCAAGACTGCATTGGAGCGCCTATGTAGCTAATACTGTAATCAGCTCTGGGCTGCAGCATCTTCGCCGGCGTGAGCAACACCCACGGCCACGGCCACGTCCAAGTCGTTGGCCTTCTTGCGATTGCGGTTGCTATTGCTATTGCTATTGTCATTGTCGTCGTCCACGCTTTCCGGCTCCTTCGTTTCCGTCTTGACGACTTTCTTCTTTTTCTTCGGTTTGGCAACGACAGCGACGCCGGAACTTTCATCTCCCACTGCGTCACCTTCTGTGGCTTCAATTCGTTGCTGCTCTTCCCCACCTTCGCCCTGTTGTTGTAAGTCCAACGTCACCGACTTGTTCTTTGTTTTCGTTTTGGTCGTCGTCGCCGTCGTCGTCGCCGTCGTCGTCGCCTTCTTCTTCTTCTTCCGCCGCACCACAGTCCCCTCAAGATCGACTCCTTCACCCACCACGGTCCGCTGCCGCTCGGCCTCACGTTGCATTTCCAGCCGTTTGCGCTCGATTTCTCTGAGGGCCGCCGCCATTTCGGCTTCTTCGGCTTCGCGACGGAGGATCTCCGACTCTGTCTCCGCCTGGGTGCCTTCGAGACTGAGTTTTTCAAGCGTAGACGAGTCGACTGTTAACAAAGTCCTTGTGGGCCGGGTTGCCGAAGACCTGCCGCCGATGCCGACGCCGATGCCATGTCCGGAGCCGACGAGGCCAGCTCCGAATGCTGACGTGTGTGGACTATGTGAGCGGGGACGGTAAGAAACCATGGGCGGCGTGGGAGACGGAGAGGTCGGATGCGATGCCGACAGCGAGTGTGTGTGAGAATGAGAATGATGTGCTGGCACATTGGCTTCTGTGGACCCGGCACCATCGTCTATCGTTTCGTCTGCGGCGACGACGAATTGGCGCACAGGTTTCTTCTTCTTCTTTGTTCTCCCGGCTGATAATTGGGGGTCGAGGTCGGATTTGCTGTGATGATGATGGTGTGTGGTGGCTGTGGTTTGCGAGGGGTCGATTTGCAGGTCAATGATGGGGATTGAGTCTACGTCTAGTTCGTCGTCGCCGTTGGATTTGTGGATCATGTCGTGAAGACGAGACCTGGGGTGGTCCCCCTCGGATGGGGCAATGTAGAATGGATCGTCTTTGTTTCTGGCCATCCTCTCGGCTTTCCGTCGTGCAAGCGTCGCGGGAGACTCGGGTGCCGCTTGGTATGAGATGGGCTCGGCTTCCGCAGAGTGCTCGGCCATCGCCGTGGAAGCGGAATGGGAATGCAGCGATGTAATTGTCGTAGAAACGGTAGGCTCACGGTCGTGGTAGAATGAATGGAATGCATCGTCGGCTGAATCGTCGTCCGCGTCAGCCACCTGTGACGCTTGTAGAATGGATGGAAGGTCCGGGTTGATGGGTGCATCGAGGTCCAGGTCCTCTGGCAGGGGAACCTTCTTCTGAGCGGCCGCAGACACTGGGTTTAGTTCCATCCCGGAGAAGAGATTGGGCATGGCGGATGTCAGAAGAAGAGGAGGTTGAGTGCTGTCGCCGGATTGAGATTGAGAAGAAAGTGCTTCCGAGATGAGACGCAACAGTTCGAGAAACTCGACGCTTCTTTCTTGCACGTCGAGGTTCGGGTGGCTCGACAGCTTTTCCAGGAACTCTGTAGTCCGCGCCAGTAGCAGAGACATTGTCGAACCCCGCGACACATTCCACTCCCGACTCGCGGCCACTGCTATATGCGAGATGATTTTGGGGATGGCCTGCACGAAAATGGCAAGCGTGCTCGCGCTGAAGGTCTCGGATGACTCGTGGATCAACGAGTTGACCACCTCGTACGGGTTTGACAAGTAGGCCGCGAACTCGCCGCATATCCAGGCGGCAGACCTCAGGACTTGGTTTTGGCCAGACCCATGCCTGGGATATGCTATTACACGATTGGACAGGAGCACGAGCGTCTCGGCGGCTCGCGTGGTTTCTGGTCGGAGTTCCTTGACTCGGACTGCGATGTCGACGAGTTGGGCCCCAACTTGTGCTCCTAATGAGGTGTTGTCATCTTCCAAGGCTGTCCTTGACGGGAACGCATTGTTCTGCTCGGCAGGAAGGTGTCGCACGAGATGCACCAGGATCTCGATGTACCATTCAAAATCGGTAATGTTGGCGTAGGTGTTGTGCGAGCCCATCGCCAGGATTCGGCTGATGATTTCCGCACGGTAGTCGTCCGAAAGAGGCGTGTTCTCGGATCCGCGTTTGTCCGGAATCAACCTTTGTTCCATGTCCGTCTGGCCTTCTTCAGAGTGGCCGTTCGACACATCGGCGTTGGCAGATGGGGAATTCGCCAACTGTTTCATCAGTCGATCCACCACCCCTTGCAAACTATCACTGTTGACCATTCCTGACACCAGCTCCAACGCTTGCATCTTGATTGAAATGTCTGGGTCATCCAAGCAGGCCATGATCACGTCTTGTTGCATGGATACCAAAGCCGGGTGCGATCCCACAATCTTGTTGAATGCTAAAAGAGCCACGTATTTCAGATTCGGGTCGCCGTCCAGAACGATCATGCCTCGTAGTTTGGAGATGCAGAGGTCGGCCACCTCTTCCACATCAACTCCGCTATCAGCCATATCGAGGATTCCTCCTTGTATGATTCCGCTAATACATTCGTAGAGCAGAGACATGGCCGTGGTCTCTTGAATCAATTTCGTCAATGGACGGACCAGCTTCTTGACCAGCCTGGGTTCAAGCGGGGTCAGAACGGCAAAAAGTTTGATAATCTTGATGCCCATCCAATTGTTCTTCTGGGCTAGCAAGAGGTCGAAGAGTCTGGGGGCCAGTGGCAGGAAGTCTTGCGGTCTGCGCCATCCCAGTTCGCAGACCACATTGACAGTGGCGGCAGTAACGCTGCTGTCTTCTTCCTCGTCCAGAAGCCGCTCCTTGATTTTCGGCCAGGCCACTCGCAACGTCTCGGGGTACACCAAGGCAAGCCTATATAAGGCAACAATGGTTTTCTTTCGCACGGCAGGTTGAGAATGCGAGAGGCGAGGTAGAAGGTCGGATAAAATGGATAGTGCCAAGGAAGAGGTAACAATATGTGGGAGAGTGATGATAGGAAGTGTCAAGACAGGGATCGATGGAGATGTGAGATCCTTTTTCAACAGGTTCTCGGCCAACATCAACACCTCTGTGTCTGGTCGAAAGGTCTGGACGGCGGCCAAGTAGCCCACCCGTTTCTGCATGATCTTGGGCGACGCCATGACTTCCAGGACGTTGAATGCCGCCCACGTCATGTCATATCCAAACATTTCCAGATAAATGAGTTTCAACAGTGCCGTGGCTTTGACGTCGAGGTCCTGCGATCGTATCTCCGTCCGACACTCTTTGAGAGCGCTTTGGATGTATTCGGCCTCATTGCCTTTGTGGCCCCGGAGGCCACGGATGAGGTCGACCAGAGACTTCTCAAACATTGTGGTGAGTTTTCGCCGGATGTCATAAGCTGTAGATAATCAATGTGTCTAGATGAATCCCCAATGACATGATTTCTCACGCGACACTGTCCAATTCGTTATGACAGCAACAACGGGCGAATAGACCTCACGTCAGTAGAGCTTGAGCGACCCATCGTATGGAAGTGAGAGAGGCCGTTCTGCTTTTGGAACAGGGGCACAGCTGTGCCACCACCAGCAAGAGGAGTGTAGAGCTAGTATGCAACAGTGTCTGAGACGTCGAGGGAGGCTCCAACTTGAAGGTCATTGAACTCCGGGTCACAGTCAGGCACATCATCAATGCCAAGACCTCAAGCCGTCTGCTCCGCCGTACATGCGTGTTGCTACTTAACTACTCCGCCGTACTGGTCTCTGCTCCAGCCTCGTGAACTTGAACGGGTGTTATAACACCGGCAGGTACCTGAGTACAGTAGTACAACCGGTCATTTTCATTTGATCTATCTCAACCGGCGGTGTCTGTCGCCAGCCAACTGTGAGAACAAGCCGTAAACATTGGTGCAATCCCGCACAAGCCCTACAAGCCCTTGTCTTCCTGCGAGCAGTCGCTTGGAAGAGCAACTATGGCGACCGCTATCACGAACAATCCCTCCGACCCAGCTGCCGTGCTGCGAGTTGCGCAAAAAGCCCCGGCCATCCTTGCCAAAGCATCTTCCGTGAGCACTACGTTTCCTGCATCCATCTTCAGTTCAGCGGACTCCACCGAGCTATGGAGAGACGTGGAGCAACTGCTCTATGCTTGTCTCCGTACAGGGGACGATGAGTCGGCCTTTCTATGTGTGGAGAGATTGAATGACAGATTTGGCCCAAACAACGAACGTGTAATGGCCATGAGAGGCTTATACCAAGAAGCTGTGGCGACAGACGAGGCGGCCTTGCGAAAGATATTGGAAGATTATACCAAGGTGCTGCAGGAGAACCCCATGAATGTTCCTATCCACAAACGGCGGATTGCCCTCGTCAAGAGCCTAGGGAGAATTCAAGATGCGATCAACCACATGGTGCAGTTTGTTGACTCTTTCCCCACCGACATTGAGGCGTGGTGCGAGTTGAGCGACCTCTACGAGTCTCAGGGCTGTATTCAACAAGCCATCTTCTCCCTGGAAGAGGCCATCATCATCACGCCCAATGCCTGGAATCTCCATGCCCGGCTTGGTGAGCTCGAATATCTGGCAGCCACGTCCACAACCGACAATGGCGAGGTGCAGAAGCGTTTGACGCAAGCAATTCGGCGATTTAGCCGGAGTATTGAACTATGCGACGACTATCTGCGTGGATTTTATGGATTGAAGCTTGCCACTGAAAGACTCCTAGAGGCATCCTCCTCTGCAAAGGCAAATGCAGAAGTTGCCATAACGCCAGAAAAGTTGCAGAAGTTGAGCCGACTGGCCACGTCGCGACTCGAAGCCATTGTGAATGATCGCAGCACCCGAAGACCACTCGGAGGGACTGACGCGGAAGTCATTGCAGCCCAGCAACTGTTGAACAAATCCAAAAGTTGAAGCACATTCTGGCCAGAACCGACCCTTGAAATACAGATCAAAGGTCGACCCATCAACGTCTGACCTTATGAAAGCAATTGGGTCCGCCAGACAGCACTTGCGCCTCTACGTATGGCCGTTGCAGGCAACACAGCACCTCCGGAGCAAGCTGTGGTTCGTGCGAGATCGTGTAAGACGCGGGCGTTTTCCACTAGCGTCGCAGCGACAGATTGACGGTTGGGCAGCGGATTGGCGCCGGCCAACGTGGCAGCATTTCTGAGGATGCCTCAGATGTCGCGGCACCCGACTGATGGCAAATAACATTGTGGCTTAAATGGTGCCGATGACTCTCGGTCGGTACAGCCTCTAATCAGGATGTCCTGGCCTTGCTTCCAGAGCATTACACGCCACGAGGCAAACCTCTGGCTGACATGTCTATGCCCAACATAACTCTGCCTCTCCATAGCCTCACCCACAATCTGCCTTGCCCAGATGAGAAGCCAGCTCAGCAGGTGTGAGTCGTGACAGAGTGGGCAGTAAAATAGCAATTCCGATCGACCGAGAGGACCCCGTTCCAGATACTAGTAGCCATTATAATATAAACCGTGAAGAGAGCGCGAAGCATCACCCACAGATGACAGTGCTCGTCTTCTTGAGAATCGTTCCCATGTAGACTGTACTCTCAATGCCACTTCGACCGTCTCTTACAGCTACGATTTCAAACCCATTGTCCACCCATTCTCTGTGACCAGAGCCCTCCATGTCTCATCGTCACAACGGTGCTCCGAGCCAGAAAAAGACAGCGCGCAAGAAGCGCTTACTGGTCCTCCAACCCCTTACAAGTCCTCTGCATCCCGGGCATGAATGCTTGTGTCACCCTGCGTCACCTAAGTACGCCCGAAGCCTGCAGGTTGTTGTGGTGACAATTCGTTTCTTTGCCAGCCAGCGCACATCTTGCTGTCTTCTCTTTCAGCCTGTTCACAAGCTTCCAAGTCCTGTTTATCGCTTCAGGTTCGCGACCGCAGTCAAATCGGTGGCCCTGTGTTAAGGCTCGGCTTTGTCCTTGTGGACTCGAACGCGTGTAAACTGGAGTCACAGAGTCAATTGCATTCCAATACCTCCCTTGGGAAGGGCTCAACTCGAGGAGAGGACCGAATTGATCACTGACAACTTCATCAGCAGTCTTACAGTAGAGGTCTTGAAGATTAAATCGTGCTGGATTTCAAGTCCTTGTCTTTCTTGCTACTACGGCGGATCTGGTCATCCTCCGGCTTTCTCTGGACCAATTCCTACCGGGACGTTGCTGTTCGGACCATCCAGGACTCCTGGACATTGACACAAGGACGCATCAGCCGTGACAACACAACATAATTGACACTGGCGTTGGTCGCCGTAATCATCACCAGAGAACTTGGGTGCGAAAAGAAGGTTGACGCTGTTGTTGTCGGTCCCTGCGCTTGGAGTTCAACTTGACCGCCTGGACCCCACCACCGCCGTTTCCCGCCTGCGGCTCGGGCACGGGCACTGGCACTGGCACCTCAACTCATATTGGGAAGAAGCGGCAAGGAGAACCAGGCGGCGAGGACAAGACGAGTCAGTCACTTCAAGTTGGTAATGCTTGGACTGGACCTCAGCTGCGGTGCCTACAGAACACAGTACGACCATATCGAGCGATCACCGTCGCCGGGGTCAGAGGTTTCATTGACCGCCTGCGCCTATACACAAACTGCGGGTCTCGGATTGGGCATCAACGTCAATCATCCTCCCTAGATTTTGTCCTTTGGGCGTTTCCCGAAACTTGGATCCGGCACCAAACAAACAGTCACCTCGACTCGCTCCCTCGCTTGCTGGTCGTCGACATTCCTCACTCCTGTTCCTATTCTCCCACTTATAATCTCTTTGCGAGGATAACGCACTAGCGCTGCGGGAGAGCTGGTGCGTCTCCTTATAAGTCAAAGAGATCCCCAGCAGCTCTGCTCTGGTTGACTCTCGGCTCCTCGCATGTGCCACGGCGCCTCTGGCCGACCCTCCCTCGTCCTCCGTCGCTTGTCTCTGCCCACCCCACGGCTCCACCACCTGTTTTGGAACATCCCAAACTTGAGAACCACATTTCCGGCGAGCGGTCAACGGGTGGACAGACAGGTTTACGATCCACGGTCCACCTCCGCACATTATTTTCCCAGCTCTGAAGAGCATTCATCCTTGCGCGCATACTCCGGACCTGGCCACCTGCACTGTCCGGAATTCCCAAGTCAGCCCTACTGTTGGTCCGGTTAGCATCCCTTTAACTGACAAACCTTCAAGGTTATCTCGTTCAGCCTTCCCTCAGGGGTGGGTTGGGCGCGGTATTCCTTGACCTCGCTCGAGTCCAATGGGGTGCGTGGTCTGCCCAGGCTGTTCTGTCAATGCTGACCCGTCTGTTCTTAGGTCCTCCGGCCGTCAAAGTCACACCCACATTGACATAACTCACGTCCGCTCCCGTTCCCCTTCTCCCATCTCACAAGGCGACGACGAGCTGCACGAGCACGGCGTGCAAGTTTCGCCCGCTGAGATATCCCCTCATTACTCTGACATCCAGATCACCCAAAGTCAAAGTGGATCAGGGTCGCTTCCCGGCGATTTTGTCCACCTGGAATACCCTCCCGAGCTCCCCGAAGGCGATGGCTCAGACCTGGCATCAAGGATAGATCATCGGGAGAGGGTGCCAGAATACGAGTCCAGATCCAATTCTATGCGCCGCCAGCCGTCGCGCCGCCAACCAGCACGACGCGACACCACACACAGCCGAAAACGGGAACTACAAGATACATCACCTACTGAGAGCGGAGACTCTACTGAAGAATTCCTGGCCAGGCGAGATTTAGGCCCTGGCATGCCGCGGCCTCAATCATATTATGCGCACAACGGGTACCCTCACAGCAGTTCCTCCGCATCGTATACATACCCTGCTGTGCCACACGCAAATCAGATGATACCGGTGCCACCGCAACCAATGGCGGCACCATTTCCACCTCCATATCCTCCTATGGCTCCTGGTCAGCCCGTGCCATTTCCCGCGCATTCAGGATACGGCCCGGGGTTTGGTCATCATGCCCCGTCCCAAGTGAGTTCACCATACACGGTGTCTCCGTATGCTGCGGGGACCATGGTCAACTATGGAGCACCGCCTCCTGGAGGTTACTTTCCACCTCAATACCCTCCTCAGTTCCCGGGGCAGCAGTATCCCCCACACTTATTTCAGTATCCCCAGCAAATGCCTTTCCCTTACATGGATTACCGGATGGCTCCCCCTCTCGTCCCCTCGCCTCAGCCTGGCTCGGCCACCGCGTCGGTCGACAAATTCGAGGTCAAGAAGGACGCAGATCCAGAAGAGATGTTCAAGCGCTTCGCCGATTTGATGAAGGAAGAACGCGCCCAGGCAGAACTATCTAAAGAAGCGCAAGCAGCAGAAAAGGCAAAGGCCGATGCTGCACGGGCCGAGCAAGAAAGCCGGATTCGGGAACAGGCCCTTCGTCAGGCGGAAGAGAGAGCACGAGAAGACGCCATACGGGCCCAAGAAGAGAAGCGGATCCGTGATCAAGCTCTAATACAGGCGGAAGAGAGGGCGCGAGCAGAAGCTGCCGCAGCTGCTGCACGTGCGGAGGAAGAACGGCGCATACGAGAAGAGGCAATCCGGGCGGCCGAGGCTAAAGCCCGTGCTGATGCTGCTGCGATGGCCGAGCGTATGGCCGAAGAACAACGGATTCGGGAAGAAGCCAGACAAGAGGCAATCCGAGCGTATGAGGAGAAAGTTCGGCAAGCGGCTGAACAGGCCGCTCGGGAGCAACAGATTCGGAAAGAGGCAGCAGAGGCCGCATTGAAGGCGGCCGCCGAAGAGGCTCAGGCCAAAGCCGAGAAAGCGGCAGCGGAGAAGAAGATTGCCGATGAAGCTGCGGCTGCGGCCAAAACAGCCGCCGAAAAAGAGGCCGCCGAAGCTGCGGCCGCGATCAAGGAGGAGGCCCGGAAAGCACAAGAAGAAGCGCAGGCCAAGCTTAAGGAGGCCGAAGAGGCCGCAGCTAAGGCCAAGGCCGAAGCAGAAGAAGCAGAAAAGAAGGCCGCCGCCGCCGCCGCTCCGGAGAAGAAAGCGCCGGTGAGGTTCAAAGATGCCATTGGGCGTAACTACAATTTTCCTTGGGAACGATGCTGCAAGTGGAGAGTAAGTGCTTGTGGCCTTTAGGGGTGTGGTAAATGCTAACATACGCCAGGATATGGAAGGCCTCATCAATCAAGCCTTTGCACATATTGAGGGTCTTGCGGAACATGTCATGAATGGGCGCTACGACTTAATCGGGCCTGATAAGGAAATCATCATGCCCAACTATTGGGAATCCATCGTCCAGCCCGATATGCACATCACGATGATGATGTGGCCTATTCCCGAGCCCAAGCCGGAAGAGCCACCGGCTCCTCCTGCATTGGACGGCGACGCCATCATTGCACTTGATGAAGAATTGAACCCGAGGAGGGACAAGAAAGGTAAGCAGTGGTCTTCACTTTTGTTCGCCCTGATGGCTCTAACGATAATTCTAGCCAAGAAGAAAAAGCCTGGTGGACTGGCTGCCTGGATGCTGGGAGGCGCTCCCCCTCGGTCCAGCCGGTCTTTAAAAGGTGAAAAAAAGCCTGATGTAGCCGCGAAGCCTCAGCATGGTGCCACCGAACAAGGTGCATGCATCGTTATGTGAGTGGCTGACTCCGGTTGACCTTCGCGGACTGCAACGGTTCGAGATTCCGGGATTAGGAAGTGCCGGACGAGATGATCAGAAAGAGTGGAAGCCGGGGTGGTTTTGTCCATTTCTTATCCATTGGGGCTCTTAGGCCTCGAAGGGACTTTCCTGGTCCCTTCTTTCTCGGTTCTTCTTTTTCCCTTTATCTCCGAATCAGGTCGGTCTGCGATGTTGACAGAGAGGAAGTCTGCTCACATAGGCTACATCAGGAGGCATGGCTTTTTCCTCCCGAAGCCTCGGGATCGGTTTTTCATGCCTCGGGGGAGAGAGACAGTGGGTGCAAGGATATTGTGTCACGTTGCGACGATTTACGACGGCAAAGATTCGAGCGGGTGTTGTTCAAAATACATTTAGGACCCGGTGTTGGTTGTTTTTGAACGGCTGGATTTCATTGAAGGTGAAGCCTGCGATGCATTAAGCATGTAAGAGCGGGAGCGAGAGAGCGCGCGGATGCAATTGACCTTTAAAGATTGAAGGCGATGATCGAAGAGGCATGTTCTGCCAGCCTCAGGCGTTTGGTGCTACCTTCATTGCGAGATACCTGGATGTGTCATTGTTCCAGAGAGGCAGTGTCAGTGGCACTCTCTGAAGGGTATACGGGCTTGATCCTCCATTCAACGACTTTGAACACGTCTGACACTATGGCGTGAGCATCTTAATATGGAGCAACTATTCTTCTGCTGTGTTCTCACGGCCTTGTGTGACAGTAGGCAGCTTTGGTAGCTCACCGTATATATGCACCCAAAGGTACCTGGTATATTGGTGAGCACCTCACGTAAGCGGATCACGTGTAAATCCAATCCGGATAATTCACTGCACAGGCAACTTGAAGCCATCCAAGGCAGACAGTGGAACAACGGCTTGTACGACTATAGTTTCAGTGACTACTTACAAGGCACTCCCAGTCGGTTGACAAGAGCAGTGACTACGTGTGAGGCTCCGATAACGGACGGCGTATTGACAACTCACATCAAAGAGACTAGGCGGCGCAGTACGCGGCTGTATCTACTCCGACACGGATTGATATCAATCCGTACCAACATCAAGTCGCCGTTACTAGGGCTCCTTGCACGCACGCATTCAACACTCGGTTGGAAATGCAGCGGCCATCGCGGAGACTCTGGTGACCAGTGCTGCCATGCCTACACGGGTGTTGATCCACGACTACCCTCATCGGACTCTGGCATTGGCCACTGACGAACATGTGCTGGTCTTTCGACACACCCATTCCCCTCCGCCGGAGGGCTCAAAGATATCGAGCACGACCAGCCTACCATCGGAGAATTTGAACCGTTCGAATCTAACTCCGCGATGTATGGTGGAGTTTGGCGAAAGATCATCCATCGACCTGACCCTGTTTCACTCAGTAGCCGCCGCTAAGGGCACCTTGGGGCTGATCACGCTCAACAACGATGTTTTTCTTTGTGTCATTACCGGCTCGGAGATTGTGGCTACGGTCCGACCCGGAGAGCTGGTGCACAAGATTTTTGCGGTCGAGTTCTGTAAGTCTGTCGGACACCGTACGTCCGCATGACTGACAACTAGAAGATTGCCTCAATCGTGCGGATTACGACCATGCCTATGGTCCATACCCGAACCCATACCCCGGACAGACCTTCCAATCGGATGATGTCGATTACGGAGGAGGTTATGACCAGAGTGACTCAAGCGCCGAGCACCCTTTTCATGCCTTGAAGAAGCTCTTGAGCAACGGGCACTTTTACTACAGCGTCGACTTTGACCTTACACGACGACTTCAGGACCGGTCTGTGGAACCTGAAGGCTGATTCTACCTATGATACTGATGCGTTGTAGTGCCGAGGAGTTCTCTACGGTCGACATCTCCAGCCTTGATGAAGGGCTTCTGTGGAATTCTTACATGATCGACCCTCTCTTGAAATTCCGAAGCAGGCTGACTGACCACGAGCGTAACGAGCTTGATCGGTCCCGACTTCTGACTTCGGTCATTCGGGGGTTTGTCCAGACTCTCACCGTACCGCCCTCGTCATCCCCGATTCGCGGCACCACGCCGGGCTTACCAACTACTTTGACAGTAATCTCAAGACTGTCGTCAAGACGTGCAGGGACACGTTTTAACTCTCGAGGCATCGACGACGATGGCAATGTGGCCAACTTTGTCGAGACCGAAACCGTCTTCTGGTCCAATACCGGTCTATGCTTTTCATACGTGCAGATCCGTGGCAGTATTCCTATCTTTTGGGAGAGTTCAAGTAGCTTGATCCCGGGACAGCAGAAGATCCAGATCACTCGTTCGCCAGAAGCCACGCAGCCCAGCTTTGACAAACACTTTGCTAATTTGGAAAGGACATATGGGGCCGTGCATATCGTCAATCTGCTGAGCGCGTTCAAGCCTGGTGAAGTGGAGTTGACGGAAAGATATCGCTATCATGTAGCGAGGAGCCCCCTTCGACGTCATGAAGAGGGCGAAATGGAAGAACATCATCTACTTCGCGAGACAGAATTCGACTTCCACGAGAAGACCAAGGGCGCCAGTGGTTACGAGGGAGCCCGAGCCATTCGACCATATCTGGAACCTAGTTTGGAGTCTTTTGTCTACTTCCTTTCGGAAGATATTTCTGAGGAGACGGTCATCGACGGAAAGAAGACCAGAGTCAAAAGACCGGTGGTGGTCATGCAGCAAAACGGAGTGTTCCGTGTCAATTGTCTGGATTGCTTGGACCGCACGAACCTCATTCAGGGCATGATCAGTCAAATGGCCCTTGAGTTGTTTCTATCGCATCGTGACGAGCGAGGAAATTCCGATTTCTGGATGCGTCATTCCACGTTATGGGCCGACAATGGGGACGCGCTGTCGAAAATCTACGCCGGAACGGGTGCGCTGAAGAGTTCATTCACCAGACATGGGAAAATGAGTCTCGCTGGGGCCATTGCCGATGCAAGGAAAAGTGCAACACGACTCTATGTAAACCACTTCGAAGATAAAAACAAACAAAACACGGTCGATCTTCTGCTTGGACGACTGGTCGGTCAAAATAGTGTTGACCTATATGATCCCGTCAACGATTGGGTCGTTGCGGAAGTGGCAAGGCGACGAGCCGAGTTCGAGACGAGAGACCAGATTAATTTGGGTATGGGCACCTATAACTTGAACGGAAAGACAATGGGAGCCAACGAAGACCTTAGTCCGTGGTTGGACGTTCGTGGCAAAGATCTTGATATCGTCGTCGTGGGCTTTCAAGAGCTCGTGGAGTTAAGTCCACAACAAATCATGAGCACAGACCCCAAGCGACGGGTTCTCTGGGAGACGGCAGTGAGAAACTGTCTCAACGGATATGGACAAGAGAAATCGGATGGCCTTCCAGGCAACGAAGACGAATATGTGCTTTTGAGAAGTGGTCAACTCGTCGGCGCCGCTTTGATGGTTTTTGTTCGGTCTAGTCTTCTCGGCCGCATCAAGAACGTTGAGGGGGCAATCAAGAAGACTGGCATGAGCGGAATTGCCGGTAACAAAGGCGCGGTGGCCATCCGAATGGATATTGAAAGTACATCGGTTTGCTTCGTCACTGCACATCTAGCCGCGGGATTTGCAAACTATGAGGAGCGAAACCGAGACTACAACACCATCACGTCGGGGTTACGGTTTCAACGCAACCGAAGTATCGAAGACCACGAAATTATCGTTTGGGCCGGTGACTTCAACTACCGCATTGGACTAGGCTATGAAAAGGTGAGGGCACTGGTCAGCCAGGCCATGACCGGCCCAGAGAAGGTCCGGGAAGAAGCATTGGGGAAGCTATACGAAAACGACCAGTTGAACATTCAGATGGTGGTGGGAAATTGCTTCAACTACTACCGAGAAGGGCGGGTCAAGTTCTTGCCCACTTACAAATACGACATTGGCACGGACGACTTCGATTCCAGTGACAAGCAACGTATCCCCGCCTGGACCGACCGGATTGTCTGGAAAATCAACCACAGAAGCACGGCCGTGCAAGCCGGCGAGATTTTAGGCACGCAGATGAAGCAGTTGGAATATAATAGCGTCATGGCCCTTCGATTCAGCGATCACAAACCTGTCTATGCAACGTTTGAGATGGGTATTCTGGTCGTGGACGAGGAGAAAAAGGAAGCCCTGACCAAGAAAATGTACGCTAAGAGAGCGAAAGAGATGAAAGTACATGCGGGCGATTCAACTGAGGGGTTTGAAGAGATCAGCAGTGAAGGGGAAGAAGACGAGAACGAAAGCGTTGTGGGATACGAAAGTATCCAGGAAGGATTGCCGCCTGCCAGCAGCGACAGGAGAAAATGGTGGCTCGACGGGAACAAAGCAGCTCGAAGCACGGTCCGACCTCCGAAAGAAGGGATGATGTTGAACAAGAATCGTGAGGGTAATCCATGGAGAGAAAGTACTGAAGATGAATGGGTACAGGTCGAGAGGCCTTTGGGCGTGGACAGCAATGGCGGCGGCGCCGGCAGCAACGCTAACTTCAATTCCGCCGCTGGCAGTAGAGCTTCCAGCAGGAAACCTGACCCTCCACCATCTCGAGGAACTAGAAGGATGGTCCCGCCTCCGTGGGAAGGAGAGAGACAAGTCTCTTCATCCACAATACCGAAATCGAATAACACATCGCTTCAAGCACCCGCACCACCGACTCCACGACGTGTTTCTGCCGCCTCTGGAATCAGCACCACCACCACCACTACGGCCAATTCCAATACCACCGTTTCATCATCATCAACGATCCAGCCAGTCACAAGTCGAGGGCCTGGATCTCAGTCTGCTTCTCCTCAAGTCTCTTCGTCTAGAGCCCTGTCCACCACCCCACCTACAATGGCAATGGCAATGGCAAAGAAACTCCCACCGCCAAAACCAGCCAAACCATCAAATTTGACTTCGCCATCACCGACTCCGACTCCGACTCACACTGAAATTCATCCTCCACGAACAAGTCCAACTGAAGACCAACAGCCTCCGCCATTACCCAAGCGGACGGGGACAACTAGTTCCACATCATCGTTCGTCAGTGCCCGAGATTCAGTGTCGTCTGAGCCTGCAGGAGCTCACAAAGGAACTCCTACTCCTCCACAACCTCCACCGCGTGGTGTGTCACTGCTGCAGCAGAGTCAAAAGCAAAGTCAAAGCCAGAGACCACAGACGCGCGATGGTGGCAGCGGTAGTAGTATTGGTTCCGTTGTCCAGTCTCAGTCTCCACGAATCAGTAGCGCTCCATCCCGTCAGCCTCACGCAGAGTCGGAAGTTGCACCACCTTTACCGCCACGGAGGACGAACATAAACAGTTCTGCTTTGAATGACAGTAACGGCGGTCCCGATATGTCTAGGATGGATTCCAGCCGGTATACCAATGGTATTGGCAAGGAACCTACCGGCGATTTATTGGGCACTGACGATTCCGATTCCGATTCCGCGGCGGGAAGACGTGGGCTGGATAAGTACAAGCCTCTCTTACCTGGCTGAATGAGATCTTGACCGCACGCAGACGATTTGTGCCAAAGAGGACGGGACGTGGCCAAGGTGGTCGGTCATTGGTCGTCTATGTCCTTGCAACGGATGGATACAGTATGTGTCTTGTCTCTACCCTACCTGGGGTCTTTGCGTTTGACTGCAGGTGGTGGGCTGCCAGTGCCAGTGTGCTGGAAAATGAGAATGAAAATGCAAATGGAATACTGAATCAAAATCAGAACCAGAACCAGAATCAGCTGTATCATGTACAGTACTAACTGCCAGATATCGATCTACTTTGGTACCTAGGTTTAGGTAGTATTAGTAGTCCCTACAGTACCTTGCATAGCAATACGCAAGCCTGGCTTATCTATCTACTGTCAACCACTAGTATGTCGCAACGTTTAACAGATCTCCTAGGGGCTACGGTGCCATGGAACAGAAATGGAATACTAGTAATCATCAGACCAGTGGTATTATCTGTCTACTTAAGGTAGTCAGGCATCTGAGGTATCTATCTAGTGCTAGTCAGGCATCTGAGGTATCCATCTAGTGCTAGTCAGGCATCTGAGGTATCCATCTAGTGCTATCTAGTACTGGTAGGAGGTAATAGTGGGGAAAGGACCACGATGGCTCTGCCCAGAAAGACTGCTGGGATCTGGTTTAGGTGTCGCTGCAGGCGTAGTAGTTGCAACAATGACTGGAGCCCCCGTTCCCGTGATGGTGGACAATCCCCTCGCGGACACAGACACAGACACAATTGACCAGGTAATAGGGTTGGGATCGCTGCTTGGGGGCAACCCTGTGGCGGCGCTGACGGTAAAGGGAGGCGTGGACACGAGTTCCCACGAAGGAAAGAGAGACGAGGGTGGTTGGTACACCGTGATAAGCTCTGTTGAACTGGGATGAGGATCGGCCGCGTGCCATTTGCAGGCCCGCAGAATAGAGAGGGCGCATGACCACCAACCGCGTTTCCAGAACTTTGTGGGTTTCGGATCGTCTTTGGCTGCCATGTGGACGGGAGAGACGCGGGATCCACCGGCTGCAACGGTAGAAGCAGTTGCGGGATGATCGGCAGTTGAAGCAGCGGTAGGGAGATCAGCAACATGGGTTCCCGTATTGTTGAAGTCAGGGCTAGGGCTGGACAAGGCGGAAACCGGAAGAGCAGAGACTGGGAAGCTAAAGATGGCTCCATCTGACCAGGAGGCAACCGGAAAAGCAGGGACCGAGGAGCCAAGCAGGGCTCCAACTGACAGGACCGAGAGCGGAAGAGCAGAAACCTGAAGGCCCAGGAGGACCAGAAACAAAGCGCTGATGGCGGCAAGCATGTTTGCGTGCATGGTTGCGGTCGATGTTGACAAAACAGCCAAGTAATTCGAGGTTGAAGGGTAGTAAAGTTGACTCGTCGACCACAGAAGTCTTGACGAGACGGAAAGAGAAGTGGTGGATGGTTTGGGGACCAAAGAAGAGTGTGTCTTGAAGATAGACGTGGATGAAGAGTGTATTGTAAGAAGTCTTTGATGCTTGTAAGGCTTCCTTGATTATCTGAGATGAGATGAGATGAGAGAAGTCCGGGAGTTGTAGAGCAGAATGAGCCTGATCTTTATACCTTTCGACCGGCCTCCTTATGTGCGAATTTTGCAAGCCTGCACCATCCTACTGAGCATTTGACCTCTGGACCATAGTTTTGAAGATGATCACTCCGCAAACTTTGCAAGCCTGCACCATCCTACTGAACATTTGGCCTTTGGACCATAGTTTTGAAGATGACCACACCTCGTAGTATGGTGGATAAGTTTGACGGCGACTGGTTTACCTGTGGCAGACAAAGTCGTACCTGGAACAGCTCACGCAGATCTTCGGCAATCTCTCTCATAAACTTCCACCAAAGTCTGCTGACTCATAGGTCAACGTCTGCTTCGTTGCACAGACGGCAGGCTGTTGGAGATTTTAGGCCTCCGCCGATCGCTTTGTAGAGTATACGGCCCAGTTGGTTTGTGCTGTGCCAAACCTTGGCAACATTGCAAGCAGTCATTTTCCACCTTCGACTCGGGTTACATGGTACCCAGTGTCGACGATCGCCCTTCTGCAGACTTATCCACTAGATTTTTGTGACCGTCGATTTTCATCCAAAAGTCGCACTTCACGTTCCAAAGCTTTGATCTCCTGATTCTTCTCGTGCTTGATCTCCTCCGTCTCCAGGTAAAGCCACGCCCAATATGCAATCTGGTAGCTGAGAAAGGCCAACGTAAGCGCCTTGGCCAGTGCTCGGCCGTGGCTCCGGTAGAAGTTCACCGGCTTCTCTGGCCGAACTTGCGCCTGACGGAGGGGTAGGACCGTACTGAAAGGCCGCGTCTGGAACGCGTTGGTGTTTCGGGGGGCGCTGCGCCGGGAGAGAACCTGCAAATTCGGCCGCAGCAGGGCAGATCTGCAAATCTGTAGACTCTTCATGACTGTCGTGTGTTCGAAATAAAGTACTGTATCTTTTGGTTCAGTGGGCCAAGAGTTAAGGTTCGTGTCTCATGCCATTATTATGGAGTTGTCTGCTGAGAGGATCAACAGACAGTCCGAGTCGTGGTTGTACAAACCCAAGTAAACTTTGTGGTTGTGAGAACAAGCTTTCGCTAGGTTTGCTTTGTTTGTCATGTTTGCACTACTCCTCTTTCTCCCCTTTTCGGCCGTTCATCATCCACCTTGACTTTATTGTTTAGGCCCTGCTCGGCCCAAGCATTTCAAACCGCCAACTAGCAACAAGACGCGTATAAACCGACAAGTTGAGACCGCGACATAAGGTATGGAGACTTTTAAGTTCGACGGCGCGCGCTACGGTTTTTTAGCGCCTTTTTAGGCACTAAAACGCTAATAAGAACCGATAGAATAAACTACGTATCGAATACGTAGTTTTATCTATCGATTTAATCTTCTCGATATTAGGAGACGCGTTTTTACGCCTATTTTAAGCCCTTTTTCTATACTTTTATTCCAACGCCGAGTTCTATTAACCGAATAGCTATTATATCGTCTTCTACTAACGCTAGGAAGATTTAACGTTATTCTTAAACGCCTATTACTATCGAGACGTTATTAAATAAGTATTACCTTACCGTACGTAAAGGTAGTAAATAGACGTCTAATAGTAACTTTAAGGCGCGTATATACCGAGATATTATCGAGGTATTCGAGGCGAAGAGTCTTCTAAAGCCCTCTAGTACTTAAGTAAAGAGTAAGCGTAAATCTATATATAAAAAGAGCCTTTTTTTTAAGCGCGTTCTATATCTTTTTACTTACTAACTCGTAGAACTATAGTTATATAACGATTTTAAGTTCTAGTCTCGTATAGCCGATATATTAGGTATTATCGTCGACGAGCAAGATCGAATTTAAGCGAGCGACGATAAGTAGGCTAAACTTATAGCCGAGGACTCTAAAAACATATATTAGCGTCTCGCGTCGTTACCGTTTCGGCACCTATTAGAAGAGATCTTTATAGGTACGTACGCTAGAGGCGTCTACTCGTAGACCTTCGAGTTCGACGTCTTCGAGAAGATCGACGAGGATATTAATCTTAGCTAAACTTTAGTAAAAGACGTATAATTTGGCGCTAGTAACGAGACGCCGTATTTAACTAGTAATAAAAGAGACGAGGAGTCTATAATAGAGATAAGAGATACGTTAAATAGCGTTAAAAACGAGTATCTAATAACTTTAATAGGCTCTAGTTACTACCGTAACTCTAGTAAGGCGCTCTAGCGCGAGCGCTTTATTCTCTATACGTAGATCGGCTCGTAAGTCGATAGTAAGTGCTTAAATTAATACGCTCGAGCGGGTTACTACCGTAATCGCTTTAATAAAGGGGCTAGAATAGCAGGAAAATATACTAAAAGAGTCCGCGAGAATAAGGGCCGTAAGAATATTATAAGAGGAGTACTATCTCTCGAGAGAGCTTTTTATTACCGCTATTAGACTACTTACGTCTAAGGTAAATATCGAAATCTAGATAGGGCTTAAGGATATACCTAAGCGTAAGTAGTAGCTAGAGCGCGAGTTATCTAATACCCTAGGTAGATAGATTTATTTATAGTAGATAGATCTATCTCTTTTTAGTATAAATTCCTATATATCTTATTCTCTTTAACTTCGAATCCTTATATACTCGTCCTATATCTTCTGCGCTATCGTATCTCTTTTCGTAGCTATAGCGTTATACGCTCTCGAGCGAGCTCGTAGTAGAGTAGTAGGAATTAGCTCGGTAAAGGCGTCGGCGTCGATCTTTAAGAGATAGATAAAATCGGTATTCTATAATAGATCGGCGCTCGTATTAATATTAAAGTTATATACCGCCGTTAAAGCGAGAATAAGTAATATCTATTTCTAAATAGTATACTTAGGCGCGCTTCTTAGTATCTTAAACTTACGCTTAAGTACGCCGAATACTCTTTCGATAGAAGTTCTTAGTTAAGAGTATCGTAAGTTAAATAACTCCTCCTTATTCGCTAGTATTAACCCTACTCTTTTCTATTCGCGTAGGTAATATCTCGTACGCGGATAAGATATTAACGAATACTTAGTATTTAAGTAACCCGCGTCGATAAGGAAATATCGATCTCGAGGAGGCTTAAATCGACCCTTTCGAAGCGCGTCTAGTAGAACTCGAACGTCGTACGAGAAGCCTTCCTATTCTATATAGATAAAGGTAAACCTAAGGTTAAAATCGTAGATAGTAAGAATATTCTATAAAATAAACTCTTTTCTATTACGCTAGAACGATTACTCTATAATAGGAATATAAGCGTATACGTAAGTACTATCGAATACCCTAATATACTCCTTAAAAGCGCTAAATTTACTATTCGTGCGAATTTAACGGAGAATAGGAGATATCTCTATCGACTATCTAATAACCTTAACGTATAACTTATAGAGTACGAGTAGTACGCTATTAAAAGACGCTAATATTATATCGCTAGATCGACCGAATAGAAGTCGCGCCTATCGATAACCACTGCCTATTCGATAGATATTTAAAAAAATCGCTAGACGCTCCTCTACGTTAATCGATCTCGAGTCTAGCACCGCGCCGTTACGTCGAAGCCGTCTAGTAAGCGTCTCGAATATCTCCTTATAAAGCCTAGTATCGATATATAACTGTATAGGAAATGCTAGGCTGCGCAGTGGCGCGGGTCAACCCGACCCTACCCGCGTTAGGGCTACCCTAAGGGTTGGGCCGGGTAGGCACCCCGGAGCCCAACGGGCGCCCCGGGCGGGTGCCTAAAATCTAAGCCCTACCCGCGGTACCCATTAGGGTCGGGCCGCCCTAACGGGCGGGTACGACCCTCGAAAAAATTACCGTATTTTACGAAAAATACGTAGTTTTACTAGGAAATATCGAAAAATACTATACGGTATTGTAAATTAGTAAGCGATTACGTAAGAAAAGTCGCTATTTTTAGCGAAAAACTCGCTATTTTTAAGAATTTTGGGTTCTTGGCAAAACCCGTCGGGTACCCTACCCTACCCGAAACCCGTAAGGGTAGGGTAGCGCTTTTTTTAAAAACCCTATTGGGTCAACTGGGCGGGCGGTAGGTGCCCTAAACCCTGCCCTACCCAACCCGTTGCGCAGCCTAGGAAATGCTAACTATTCCTATACCCTTTCTCGGCTCTAATTAGCGTTTCGAAAAACCCTCTTAGGTGCGCTAATACTAGGCGTACTAGTAATAATAAGGATAACGATATAGATAGTAAGGAGACGTTAATAATAGCGCACGAGCGCGTACGAGCGTAATTCCTCTTAAGACACTATAGATTCGACTTAATCGACGTTATCGACGTTAACGTTATCGATAACGCAGCCTATAGAGCACTGTTTATAGATATCTACGCGACGCTCGAGTATAATGAACTACTCTTGAAAATGTGGAACCTAGGTGGATTTTGGTGTGAAAATAGCGCGCAACTCGAGCGGGGCGCATCCCTATTAAAGTGGTTTAAAACGCGGTTACTTCTTGTCGATTTGAAATGCTTGGGCCGAGCAGGGCCTTAGTAGTATGGCTCGTCAGCGGTCAACGAACATGGTTTCTGCCCGTGTACAGGTAAGTTATGCGTCATCGCATAGGCTTTAGTGGTGCCTCGTGAAAGCGGCCTCGTGGAGAGTGGGAATTGATGGCAGCGCTCGCGCGGTATACCATTTATGATGCTTTTTCTGCGGATGGCGTACAGGCTCCCTTGCTCTGATTTCCTCTGCTGTCACGCCGTTCTCCAAAAGGGGCACCTTGGTGATACACTGTCCGAGTCGGCCGAGTCTGAGTGTCGAAACCGCAGCTTGGAGCACGAATAGGGAACAAGTCGGGTCGCGAATGACGGGACCGTTATTGCGCTTAAAGCAGACAAGTATTGAAAAGTCAACGCAGATATATGTTGACACCTTCCACGCTGGCAAATGTATCAGGAGAGTGTCCCAGCACCGATAAACATGTCCTTCTCACTGGAACTCGACAAATACAGTGGGTGAAGCCGGCCAGAAACTTCGGTCCAAACCCAAAAGCATGGAAGCCTCGTTTACTCCAGTATTCGAAACGCAACGAAACTGTCCACATAACTGGCCCCTCTCAATCACTCTCTCGGGCTCCATCGAAGCCCCCTCGGGTTGCTATATTCTAGATATCAACATCACCCCCCTCAACCCAAGCCTTACACTGCCAATACAGCAAATCATGCTTCTCTCCACAAGCCCTACTACCGCCCTCGACATCCTTTTCTCTCCGATGGCCCGGCAAGTCACGCAAGACCTTGACACCCATAGACTCCTCCTGACAATAAGCCAGATATCGATATCCGGATGGATACTCGTTGAGGCGTATTTCATCCAGTTTGGGGACTTTGGCCGGATTGACGGGGATAAGTTTGTCCTAAGACAAGATGAAACTTGTTAGCAACCAATACAACAAACAAGACAGTCTTTCTCTCGCCCCCCC